CTGCCGCGGGCAGTGAGGGGGGGACGCGCCCCGTGCCTGCTGGCTGGGGTCGCCTGCCCTCCCCGCCGCCGGGACGGCTTTGTTTCGGCTCCCGGGGCTGTGTCCTGTGAGCAATCACCGGTGACACCGGGGTGAGGGATGCTCAGTGGTGGCCGACGGTGGGACACCGCGCTTGTGCCACCATCCAGCTGAGATCGCCCCATGGCGGCGTGGCGGCCAGCCCCTGCTCTGGCTGCGCTGGGAAAGGTCATGCTCGAGCCGGCTCTGGGCTCCTCTCCCGCCACGCTGCCTCCCCTCGGGGTGCTGGGGAGAGCCGGCTGCCTGCAGGTCCTGGAGGGCCCCAGCCTCACCTGGGGGGGTCACAGAAGAGGGGTCAGACCCACTTGGAGCCCCATGGGTGCTGGCACCAGTCTGGGACTGCACTGGGGACAAGTGTCCCTGCAGGACCGTACCCTCTGGGACTGGGTGGACCATGCTTGTGGGCCCAGGCTCACCGGGACACTGGCACGGCTCTGGTAGACAGCATTTGTCCGGCGCAGGGCATTCCTCACTCTCCGACTCCGCAGCCGCTTCCTCCTCCCTTGCTCCAGCTGCACCAGATGGCAAAGCGGTGCCGGGGCGTCTGCACCCCATGACACCTCGCACCTCCCCGGCGCTTCGTCCCTCCCACCCCAAAAGCAGCGGCACCCAGGGACTCACCGGCCAGGCTAGGCCACGGAGGTGAGCCGGGGACCCATTGGACACAGAGCTGTCGGAGCCGCTGGTGCTGTGTGGGGGAGACAACCGCCTGCAGCCGCTGCCGGCACCGCCGTAGCTCTGTGGGGCGGCACAGCCGGGATGTACCTGGACTCGAGCTCCGAGGGGGAGACATCACTCCAGCTGCCACCAGAGCCCGGCTCCCGGCCCAGCCATTGCCGCAGCAGCGCATCCACCTCTGACAGGCACTGCTGGAACTGTGCAATGGAGCCAGCGTCACCGTGACCCACCTACGGCACCGGAACCGGCCTGGGTGCTGTGGTTTGAGCTGCGGTTGCTGGCCCACCTTGGCGGGATCAGGGTCGCAGAAGTCTAGCAGGGTGTCGCAGAGGTGGTAGCCCAGCGACTTGAGGTCCTCCACGGTGAAGTGCGAGCTCCTCCCACCTGGAGGGGACAGGGGAAAAGGAAACAAGCGGCAGCTTCCCAACCCCGGGGACCACCCCGCCCGCCCCCAACGCACCCAACACCGTCAGCCCCGGCCGGCGGCGGCCCCTCACCCAGCGTGGAGCCGCCAAAGGCTGCCTCCATGGTGTAGCTGTTAGAGACACCCATGCGCCACATGACGACCCTGCCCGTCCCCGCTTTACTCTTCTGCACCTTGAACTTGCAGCTGGGGAAGGAGAACTGGGGCCAGCCCCAGGGTCAGCACGGCAGGGGGATGTGTGCCCCTCTGCAGCCCCGCAGAGACACTGTGGCGGTGCCTCGGGAAGCGGCATGGCGGCCACATTCCCCACGTTGCCATCCGGTGTCACCGCAAAGCTCAGCAGGGACGCCACTCCCTGGCTCCAAGAATGGCTTCTGAGTGTCCCACCTTGTCAGGGGCATTTTTGCTCAGCATCAGGGGGAAGATGCGCTGGCACAGCCGCAGCCCGGCCCCGCCACCATCACAACCATACATGAAGACGTTGTTCTTCCGGCTGTGCCCGTGGAAGTCACAGTAAAGCACCACCTCCCGCTCTGCCAGCACCCTGCGTGCATCAGGATATGGTCACCGGCATTGCCGCAGGAGCGGCACCATGCTGCCGGCTCCCGACACCCCCACCTCACCTCTCGACCATGGCCCGCAGGTGCCACACGCCGGGGAAGGAGCTGCAGAGTGCTGTCCCGTAAGCCCTGTTGAGGTCGCGGCCCGCCAGGGAGCAGCGGGAGTTGCCCACCACCACCCCGTCAGGGTTGAGCATGGGCACCACCTTGAAGACAAAGAGCTGGCGCAGGAGCTGGGCATCAGCGTCGGCGCTGAGGAGGAAATCGAGGAAGCCCCGCATGGCCCAGGAGCCACCGCTCTCCCCGGGGTGCGCGCGGGCGCTCAGCACCACCGCCCGCTTGGCCGCCGCGCCAGTGGGGCTAGTGATGGTCAGCAGGTAGACGGTGTTGCCGGCCAGGCTGCGGCACAGCGCCCGCACCGCGCAGTACCGTGAGCGCACCGGATCGCCCGCCAGCGCCCGCAGGTAGCGCTGCAGGTCAGAGTAGGTGTAGGGGTAAGAGTGGGCGAAGAAGCAGGTGTCACCGTCGTGGGGGAAGCGTGCCGTCCAGGAGAGGCGGAAGGCGGCTGGCTCCTCCCCGCTGCTGCCCCGGTAGTAGCGGACGTCGGCCCCAACCCGGCGCCAGCCAATACTGCGGCTCTGGGCATCCCGCTGGGAGTAGAACAGCGGCCGCATGCCCTCGCCATAGAGGCTCTTGGGCTTTGCCATGTTGGCGATGGTGAAGCGGTAGAGGGGGCCTCGCCGGGTGTTTTGGACGCGGAAGTAGAACCACTGGGTGTGCTTGGCGGTGTACAGGTCCGGCCGCAGCATCAGCACGTACTCGTAGGGGCCCCTGCACAGCGGGATGGGCCACGCTCCAGCTCCTGGCCCCACTGCCGCTACCACCGCACCCCCCCGGCCCCTCTCTTACACCTTGACGGCTTTCTGGAGGTTGCCACTCTCGAAGCGGGATTCGAAGAGCAGCGTGGTGTCCTGGGGACCCTCCAAGGGGGCTGCCGGCGAGGAGAGGGGACCTGGGGCCCCCCCAATCCGAGCGCGGGTGAAGCAGGAGCCTTGGGGCGCTGTGGGGGAAAGCCCGGAGGGACGGCGATGGGGGCCTGGGGAGACCGAGGGGGCACCCCGGGGTGCTGCCCGCTCCCCACTACCTGGGCTGAGGTGGTAGACAACGGTGCCGTGCTCCTCACCGAGGGTAGCTGGGGCCCAGTGAGGGCCCGTCGGCTGGCAGAAGGGCTCCGGTTCAGGGGGCACCCACTCTGTGGGGGGGTGCAGACGGGCACTATGGGCACAGCAGGGGTCCGTCACCGGGGGGGGGGGGAACAGCCGGAGCACTCCCTCACCGATGTGCTCGATAGTCTCCTCGATGACTTCGCACTCGATGGGCCAGCGGGGAGCGGGCAGGGGTCCCCACGCCGAGGGAAGGGCGAAGAGAGCCCGTGGCTCCCCCGGGGACCCACGGTGCCGTGCCGAGGGAAGCGGCGTGCCCCGGCGCTGTGCAGAGGGGGCTGGCTCCAGCAGCCCAGGGGCTGCAAGGGGACCAGGAGGGGCTGCGGGGGCTCTGGTGCGCTGCCGGCTCCACGACACGTCTCCGGCAGAGATAGAGAAGCCCAGGCTGGGAGGGTGGGGATGGCCCCCAAAACCACCCCCCACTGCACCCCCTCCATGGCAGAACACAGTTCCAGGCCCTGGGGCAGCACCAACCCCAGTGCTGGGGGGCTGCGGGGGGCTGCGGGGGTCTCACTCACGGCTCGGCTCCTGCCTGGGACCCCACAGGTAGCCAGGGTCAGTGCTGCCCGTACCAGTTGCCTCGGTGGGGTGCTGCTCCGAGGGGATCCCTGGGGACATGGGGCTCTTCTGCCCGCCTGCCTTCTGGCCTTGGGGAGAGCACCACTGCAGCCCAAGTGGCTGGGGGGGCCTGAGGGGACCCCACCAGGACCCCACCGTGGCCATGGCTCACCTCGGAAGTAGCCGTAGTAGCGCAGGTGGCTGCGCATGAAGCTGTCGTAGGGGTCGGGGACCCACCCTCCGCCAAACCCCCCCAGTCCTCCCTCCACGACCCGGGCAGTGGAGCACCCCGAGGGCTGCATGGCTGCGAGAAGTCCGGCAAAACCCTTCTCCGGTCCCAGCAACGCCAGGGAGCTGGGACGCGGTCGCTGAGCGACCGGCCAGTGGCAGGGAGGGACGGGGCGGTCCCAGAGTGGAGCTGGGAAAGGAGCCAGAGGGATTTCCTTATCCTGGCAGATGCCCAGGGGAGTGGGGCCACAAAGGGCCCCCACGGTATCAGCCCCAGCCAGGACCACCGCACACACCGGCCCCAAACTGCTCCCAACCTCCTGCTGCCGCGGCAGGGGCAGGGACAGCTCCTGCTCAACCAGACGGCACGTCCCAAACTGCTACAATTTATTGGACAACGCTCAAGTGAAGGGCTCTGAACTGTACATCTGTAAAAAAAGAGTGTGGCCGCGCCTCATGTGCTTGACGCGGTTTTCCTCCGCTTCAGCCGTGCTCGCCAGTCCTCTGGCAGCGCCTCGAAGTTGGCGTTCCTCTCCGCCATGCCACTGCAGGGATAAAGTGGGGTGTCAGCACCCGGGTGGCACAAGGTGACAGTCCTCCCCCACCCTCGCATGCCTCCCCCCGGGGCCGGAGATGCGGATCCCCACTCTGCCTCTACAGGGGACAAGGAAACGTTCCCCCTGAGGTGGAGCTGAGCCAGGCAGCATGCCACGGAGAAGGGATGCCGATGCCAGGGCAGCCTCCCGGGGCTCATACCTCATCAGCTGCTGCTGCTTCCACTCCTCGATGCGCCGCTGGGCAGTGGTCTCCCGATCCTCCTCGCTGGAGCTGGAGTTCTCCTCCTCATCCAGCTCCCGCTGGATACTCTGCCACTTCTTCACCAGCGACGGCATCTTCGTCTTGCCCTTCTTGCCCTGCGCCAGAAACGCAAAAGACTGTGGTGAGGGTGGCTGGAAAGGGAAAAGAGGGTGCCCGGCGAGTGACCGGCGCAAGAGCACCTGCCTACCTTGTCCTTCCGCCCCTTCCTTGGCTTCTCCTTCTCTGGTGGCGGCGGCGCCTTGGGGGCGGGAGGCGGGGGTGTCTGGGGGGGCGGCGGAGGAGGTGGCTGGTCGGTGGTGCCGGCAGCAGGCAGGGCTCCTCGCGCCGGAGCCGGTTGCACGGCGGCAGCGGCCAGGCTGACGGGCGTGGCGCACTCTGAGTAGCTCATGACGGAAGGTGCGGTGGGCGCCGTCACACCCAGGAAGCTGGACTGCAGGCCCAGCGCGGCAGGCTGAGGGCCGGCGTGGCCCGGTGCGATGCGGAGGTTGGGGCGGCCCTGGATCTCGCCCTGTAGCCGCTGGCGCGGCCTCAGGGAGGCAAGGGGCACGGCCGAAGGCTGGTACTTGCCAGCGGCCATCAGGGGCTGGCTGTAGATGACAGGGCAGCTGCCGATGGTGGCCGTTCGCTGCATCAGCCCCGGGCTCATCTCCACGGCTTTCCTCTTCTGAGGCTTGGTGGAGAGCAGAGGGGCTGGGCTCGGTTCAACGGGACCCTGGAAGAGAGTGCCGAGGTGAGCGCCGAGCCGGGAGGGACGCAGCCCCAAGGTGCAGCCGAATGAGCGCCCTTCCATGCCCCCTACCCGTGCCGGACACAGGGTGGTGGGACTGGCCGAGGCCCGGCTTCGCCCGGCTGCCGGCACCGCCGCTCACCTGGCTGCTGCTGGCAGCTGGGCGCAGGAGAGGCTTCAGGGGAGCGTCTTCCTCCGTTCCTGGGGCGGGCGGCTCCTCGCCCCCCTCATCTTCCATCTCCACTTCCTGGATCTCACCGTCTTCTCCGGGAGGTGGGGGCGGCGGGGGCGGCGGCGGAGGCGAGTCCGGTGGAGGCGGAGGCGGCGGAGGCATTTCCAAAGGCAAGGGAGGTTGGAGGACCGGGACAGAGGACTGAAGCAGAGTCCAAAATGGAGTGAGCGGCATGAGAGACGTAGCAGGAACTTGGCCTGAGAAGGATTCTTTACAAAGGGAGCCTGAAGAATACATATTGACACAGGCTTGAAAACCCACGCTACGGACCGCGCTGCCTGCTCCTGCCCGCTGCCTCCCTGCCAGGGCCCTGCCTGGGAGCGGGCAGGCAGAGCTCACGCCACGGGCTTGACCGACGAGCTGCACGCCGCCTTCCCCGGCGCCGCTGCGATGCCTAAAACTGATGGGGACAGCTCGGACGCGGGAGCGGCGCTCGTCCCGGCTTCGCTAAGGCCCGGGGAGGGAGGCCAGCGCCACCACGTACTGCTCTAGTGCTCGGTGGGGCCCCCCCAACACCCCGCTTCGGGGCCAGGACCCCCCAACCGCAGCGACCCCCTCCTCCCTCGTCCCCGTTCCCGCCCCCGGCTGTACCTGTGGAGCGCTCGGCGGGGTCCTCGGCGCGCTCTCCTTTGTCTTTTGGAGGTGGTTTAGGAGGACCGTCGGCTTTTCTGTCGGTGCTCCGCTGTCCCTCCTCTTCGTCCTCCCCGTCGGGGAACTCCCATTGTGACTCTCCTGAGCGCTCGTTAACATAGAAATAGCGTCTATGCTCCCTAAATCACAAGAAAGAGAAGGAGGCTTTAGATTCCCTCCCCCGCCACCGACACTCCGAGGCGGGCCTGCCCACGACAGCGCTGCGCTCTCGCAGGGAAGACCCTCTGCGGCAGGGCCGCCGCTCTCCCAAACGCAACAAACAACTTTGAGGACAGAGGCAGGAGAGGCCCGAGCCGGCTCGCTCAAAGCTATTTGCATTGCTGGCTGCGTGAACGTCGCCCTGAGCCCCCCGCTCCGAGGGAGGGGAGGGCTGAGAAAGCAGGCCAGCGTGCAGCAGAGCGACGTCTCGCTAGCATCGGGACTTTCAGCCGCCACCTTGGCTGAAAGTCGCCCTCCAAGAAGAGGCACCGGGGAACAGCCCAATGGAGAGAAGCGGCTGCCCCCCTACCCCGTGGTGCGCGGAGGTCGCTTTTATGATACTCTTGGTGTCAAACACACAGTGAATGCTAGAGAGAGGGAGCGGATCTGGGAGCTGAAAAACAAAAGAGCAAAGATTTCAAACAAAGGAAAATTAATCAAGAAAGCCAAATAGACAAAGAAATGTTTGGGTCTGACCTGCTGGCAGGAGACAGAAATCTTGTTCTTCGTTCCGTCGATGAGTTGAAGTTTGTCCTTTGTCAGAGCTGTTGGTCAGAAGAGGTGATCCAGAGATCCTGCAAAGTTCACAGAGCTCTCGCATGCGCGACCCCCCAGGCCCGCCCTCCACAGCGCTTTACACTCGCGAGTGAAAACCAGCTCTGTCCGATCAGGGAATCAGCTCCGTCTCAAAGCACTGAGCACTCCGTTTGGATCCTCCAGTTTGGTGGCTGGCCCAAACTCTGCGAGTGCCGGACGTTTCTCTGCCTGCCCAGCACTGCTAACAGAAGCTGCTCTCAGTCTCCGAGAGGGACGGCGCCACGTCGTCGGGTGGTGATGGTCACAAATCATGTCTGAGATGTCAGAGATGAAAGGTGAGAAAGGTAGGAGAGCGCGTACCTGTCCCAGTGGCAGGACCAGCCTTTAGGGGTGGCGTTTATTTCGTATTGTTTTAGCTGTTCGGCTGCATCTTGGAGTTTGCGTTTGAGGTAGTTTCCATTGAGAGCACCTTCTCGCCAGTCTGCAATGCGGGTCTAGAGGGCAAGAACCGGGGGAAGCCGTTGAGGGAGGCTGCAAGCGGCCCTCGGGACAGGACTCGAGGTCCGGGAGGCTCCCTTACGGCACGGGACTTGGGGGGCCAGGAGGAAGACACCGCCTCCGCGCAAAGCCATGCTCTCCCCCCGCTGAGGAAGGGCCCTGCAGGAGGCGGGCAGGTGGGCACGCCGCGGTGTGGTGCCACCGCGGCCACAAGGTTCACGCAGCACCGGCCCTCGGCGCTCGAACGGCGGACAGTATTTGATCCGCTTCGGAACAGAAGGCCGGAGCGAGGGGCGAAGGCTCGGTTACCTCTGTCTGCAACAGCAACATGTGGAAGTTGGAGATAGATTGTCTGTTGATGCCCAGGAACTCCAATTTACTAGTCAGAGTATTTGCCAGCTCTCCGATCTGAAACTGCCAGGGAGAAAGGGGAGAGTAAAGAGCCGTCCTCGGGTAGCGTCACCGGGCGGCTGCGGCCTCACAGCTCGAGGCCTTCCCCGGCAAACAAGACTCTGGACAGCCAGCAGCCCCTCAGCCTGGCGGGACTGGGACGTGCCACCCTGAATGTGTGTGTGCCTGTCACCCCCTCCTCGAAACCCCGCTACCTCCTGTGCCCCAGGGAGGGGGTTGCTGTGGGATGGCAGGACAAGACCTCCTCTGCAGCTGCGGGAGGTGCCAGCGAACCCCAACTCCTTCGTGCGGACCTTGCCCTACTCCCAGCCACAGCTCCCGGCGCTTGCCAGAGCAGTCGCCGCTCCGCGCCAGCTGAAGGAGGGTACGGGCTCAGTCTGGTTCAGCACCCCGGCTCTGGAGTTACAGCAGAGCAATCGCCAGGGCGGAAAGCATTAAATCTAATACTTCAACCGTTTCCCAAATGAAATGGGCCAGGATATAATTTCAGGCTTCATAAATCACCCCTTTCCGGAGGAACTAGCTGGAAAGCACAGGAAAGGGGTAACAGCTCCGGATTTACTCCCAAGCAGAGACAGTATCTATGTTAAGATTCAGGCCAGCCCACAGCAACCACTGTTACTCAACCCCAGCGTCCCGCGGGAGCAAAACCTCCCATTGGGGCACTGCACGGGGACGCGGAGATCACCCGTGTCAATCCCCCTGACTGAGGGGCCTGCGTGAAAGCACCTACAAGCCAGAAAACAAGAGCAGAAACGGGGTGGACGCCTGCAAGCGGCATCATGATTGCTTTCAGGGAAGGCTCTAAAAATTTCTTTTTTCCTTCACTCTTTGGAAGAGGCTTTGGAAGATCCCCAAAGCCAACAATGCAGTGTCTGTCTCCAGAGAGGAGGACGGGCCAGACAGACAAGCAGCACTAGAGAAGCCTGAGGCAGGGAAACAATTCCCACGTTAACGTGGCTACGGAGAAGCCAGGGGATCCCACAGCAGAGGGTGACTTC